GTGCTGGAGGAGACTCTTGAGAGTCCCATGGACTGCAAGAAGATCAAACTGATCCATTCTGAAGGAAATCAGCCCTGAGTGCTCACTGGAAGGACAGATCGTGAAGCTGAGGCTCCAATACTTTGGCCACCTCATGAGAAGAGAAGACTCCCTGGAAAAGACCCTGATGTTGGGAAAGATGGAGGGCACAAGGAGACGGAGGATGAGATGGTTGGACAGTGTTCTCGAAGCTACCAGCATGAGTTTGACCAAACTGCGGGAAGCAGTGGAAGACAGGAGTGCCTGGCGTGCTCTGGTCCATGGGGTCACGAAGAGTCGGACACGACTAAACGATTAAACAACAAAAACAACAACCCCGTCCAAAACAGGCTACAGTAGAACCTTGGTTTTCGAACATAATCCTTTTCGGAAGTCTTTTTGATTTCCGAAACATTTGAAAACCGAAAATCAAAGGGCTGTTGGCAAAATGAATGATGAAAATCGAAAAACGTGTCATGGAAGCCACTCGTCTTCTGAAAATCGTTTGAAAACAGAAGCATTCACTTCTGGGTTGTTGGCATTTGGGTTCTGAAGCGTTCAACAACTGAGGTTCCACTGTACCACCTTTAATTCTTGGACCTGGAAACTGCCCACCCACAAACATTTCTGTTTTGTTGGGATTCAGCTTCAGTTTATTGGCTCTGTTCCAGGCCTTTACTGCCTCCAGATACTTCACCTGCATGGTTTTGTCAGATTCAGATGAGAAGGAGAAATTAGAGTTGGGTGTAACCAGCATATTGGTGATGTCTTGTTCCAAATCTGCATGCTTCCCTTGTGTTTTTCCCAGATTACTCTACAGTGGTACCCCGGGTTACATATGCTTCAGGTTACATACGCTTCAGGTTACAGACTCTGCTAACCCAGAAATAGTACCTCAGGTTAAGAACTTTGCTTCAGGATGAGAACAGAAATCGTGCTCTGGCGGTGTGGCAGCAGCAGGAGGCCCCATTAGCTAAAGTGGTGCTTCAGGTTAAGAACAGTTTCAGGTTAAGAATGGACCTCCGGTACGAATTAAGTACTTAACCCGAAGTACCACTGTATACTGTATCAGTGTCTTCTCCTCAGGAAGAACTTACTATAGGCTGCCTGATTTATTTGAACCTCTTTTTATAAATAGGCTACAATTTGGAACTAGTAACTAAAATTTGCTTCTCTAGCACTAAATAACCAGAGGTTCGGGAAATGTACCAGACTGCTATCACAGTTTCCTAGAGGTGCATGGTAAAAGTGACTGAACTTGTCTTTTTTTATATATAATTATTTGAATTATTTATACCTTGCTTCTCAGCTTCTCAGCTCTAATTTCCAAGATGGCTTACAACATAATTAAAACCAGCCACACAAAGTAGCAAACCAAACAAAAAGCTAATATGAAAAATCAACAGAGCAGCAAAGACAAAAAATAAATAAATCTTGAACATTCAAAAGTAGTTTTTAAAGAGCTCCAAAGCAATTTTTTAACAGATCAGCAGAAAAAGTGAACAAGACCAATCAAAAGCCTGTATAAACAGAATAGTGTCTTAAGTTTGTGCTTGAAAGTCATCAAAGAAGATGCTGGCAATTTGACAGGGGGAGAGAATTCCACAGGTGTGTTACCGTGACTGAAAAGGCTCTGTCCCTCATTGCCAACCATCTCACCTCAGGAGGTGGGAGCCATCTGACCAGTGCCTCTGAAAAATATATTAATAGTTGAGCACATTCATGTAAGGGTATCCCATACTTCAGGTACTCTGGTCACAAGCCACCAAGGGCATTATAGGTCAACTGAATTTTAAACGCAAGGAATTCCATTTTAAGAGCAAGCAGCACAAGAGATGCAAATTTGAAATGGGCATCCTTATATTTTACTTACATGGTCCTTGCATTGGCTATCCTCACATGAACTATTTGGAGTCGCAAATAAAATAAATAATTTTATTTGGAAAGGTGGCACAAAGCACAAAAGAGGATTCGGTTAAGGTTAATTTTGCATTGACGTCCCTCCCCCACCAGTAAACGGCCTTTCCTATTCACTGTTTGAAGCAGTTTAGTGCAAATTTCCCCTTGTCTTTTTTATGGCTTTTCATGCATAAGAAAAAGTAAGGAATTGAACAATATCCAGATGAAAATGAGCCCTATCTTCACCATTTTTAAAAAATGAATAGTTGAGCAGTTAGCATTCCTACCCTTTTCACAGATCCATCTCTCAGCCTACTTTATCCTTTCATATTGTCATTCTAATTTTCCCTTTACTACCCCTACGTCCTCATTCATTCATTTCTTAAAGTCCATATCAGTCTAAAAGTATCTTTTACTCTTCTTGTTGGTGCTTGCCCTAGATGATGGTCTTTGTGCATTTGCAAGAGATGGTTGCATAAGAACAGTAATATGCTAACAAAAGTACCTCAGTATCTGCATTTTGTGGCAGTAGAATTATATTGGTATATTGGAATGGTGTTGTGTTCAGAGCAGTTCTAATATCTAGATCTGGATTCTGGAGGAGGTTAGGATGAGGCAGACTTGTCTCTGCTGGCAGAGAGCAGCTTCATCAGTGGGGTGGGAAGTAAAGGTAAAGGGACCCCTGACCATTAGGTCCAGTCATGGCCGACTCTGGGGTTGTGGTGCTCATCTCGCTTTATTGGCCGAGGGAGCCGGTGTACAGCTTCCAGGTCATGTGGCCAGCATGATTAAGCTGCTTCTGGTGAACCAGAGCAGCGCATGGAAACACCGTTTACCTTCCTGCCGGAGTGGTACCTATTTATCTACTTGCACTTTGATGTACTTTCGAACTGCTAGGTTCGCAGGAGCAGGGACCGAGCAACAGGAGCTCACCCCGTCGCGGGGATTCGAACCGCTGACCTTCTGATCGGCAAGCCCTAGGCTCTGGTGGGGGGTGGGGGGTGGGGGGTGGGAAGACGTCTGCTGCAAAGGCCATTGTTATGCACATAGACATTAGCCTGAAATGGACAAAAAGAGGCAGGACAGAGTTTGCATTGGATCCGCTCTTTCTTCAAGAGGTCTCTGTATTGGTGCCATTAGCTATTCCAGTTTGAGGTTTATGTAGTTGATATTCCCTCATTTGGTTTTTTGTGTTAAATTTTACTAAATGGAGATCTGCAAGGGCAAACTGGAAGAAAAATGGTAACCCTCCTACTGCTACCTGGCTGGGAGTCAGCAGGCCTTTGGAAGTGGTGAACGACCTGCCATTTTGTGCTCTCTCCTAAGTTACCCCACTTAAGAGTGCTCTGTGAAATCTGTTCTCAAATGGACCTTTAAAAAAAGCTTTATAGTTATATTTATATCCCACCCTTCATATAAATCCAAAGGCTGGTAGCTGCAATATTAAAACAACCAACAATAAAACAAAGACCCAATTTACTTTATCACAAAAGGAAGATAAAATTGGTATCTCATAGCAGGTATCAGATAATATAAAACAATCCACTTGCCTTTCTTATGCATACTTCTTTATATTTCTAGAATCAGGGTAGATTTCAACATTCGCTTTTTGAGCCGTGGGTTCTTTGTCTCTGCATAGATGGGTATCCCTGTAACCCCCACAAATTTCCCATTTGTGCAAAAGTGCAGTGATTTCTAGAAACTATTTGGTAGTGGTGGTTTTTGTTGTGCTACCTGTTGACATGTTGCAGGAAATTGTTGCAATTAAACCTGACATATATGTGCCTGTATGTGAGAAAACTAGACTGATAGGATGTGCAGATCTGTCATTAAATTTGTAAATATTCAACTGAATTTCTTGAGATATGTATTTATATACAGTGGTACCTCGGGTTACAAACACCTTGGGTTACAAATACTGTGGGTTACAGACTCCGCTAACCCGGAAGTAGTACCTCGGGTTAAGAACTTTACCTCAGGATGAGAACAGAAACCGTGTGGCGGCGGTGTGGCAGCAGTCCCCATTAGCTAAAGTGGTACCTCAGGTTAAGAACGGATGAATTAAGTTCGCAACCAGAGGTACCACTGTAATAGCTTTTGTCTAACATAGCTTTTGTTTCTAAAGCTATATTGGCAATGACCATTTTACTATATGTTTCCAGCTGGACACAATTTCAATGAAAAATGCATTGCTATAATAGAGAAGTGTTTTTGTGAGGGGACAGCATCTAGAATAATTTTACTGTTGGGAAAGAATGGGAACATTCTTTTCTGCAAGAGCAAAACATTTTTGGCTGGGTAACATTTGTGGCTGACACACAGAGCTCACATTTCCTCCCATTGAGATTAGAGACTAATTAGGATGGCATGTCATTAATTTGCAGTTAACAATCATGAAGCCTAGACAGATTCATTAAATTTGAAACAGTGTTCTGCAGTAAAGTAGGAAAGAAATAAAACTAGATCCTAGCATAGATACTGGAACCCATAAAGGCATGTGTGTGAGGAACAGGACTGACTGGCCGTACCATTAGGCAGGATGAGACAGCTCACTCAGGCAGCAGGTGGGTAGTGGCAGTAACATGTTAGAGGAGAACTCCATGTGCCACACAACCTGCTCTGCACCTACTAAGCTAGCCTGTCTTGGGCCAGGAGTCAGCTTTGCCTGCTGAACAGCAGCCTGGAGGGGGATTGACTCCACCTGCAGCAGATAAGCCTTCAAGGACACAGAGGAGAAGGCGCTGATGAGAACCAGCTGGCTTCAGCTTTCTTGAGCAGAGCTTCCAACTGCAGTCAGATTCTGGTAACAACGCTTGTAGTTCCTGGCCCTACCTTCCTTGCTCGTCTTGATCACATGATCTTCGATTTCTCTGACCCTTGGACCATCTGACCACATGGATTGCTGTTTGCCCAGCCCTAGGACTGGACCAGACCTCGGATGCTTACTCTGCCTCCAGGCAAGTACACCTCAGAGACTCTTCTGGGCGGTTGACCTCCCATTCCACTGAGCTCTGCCTGTTGTTGCTCAGCAATGAGACTATGGCAATCTAGTTGAACCCCTGAAATGCAGGAAACCTGCCCACAGCCATTCCTGGGTGGGCTCAAACAGTCAGCCTTCTGGTTAATAGCCAGATGCACTAACCCATTGCACCACAATGACATCTAACAATAGGTAAACGTTCCCCCTCAATGCCTGTGTGATCCTTATAATGTTCTTGCCAGCATACCCACGCATATATGTGTTTTAAAGGACCCAACTTAACATTTATTTTAGCCACCAAATGAGGCAAATCTTCCTCCATAACATTATTTATTGTTGGCAATTTTCTTTTCCTCCAGATCTTGTTTGTTTCTGCCAGTGGTCATTATTATTCAGTGGTGGGGCATCATAATTTCAGATAGATTCATGGATTCGAATCCAAGAAGAGTGTTAGTAATTCATTAACGTAGCACCACATGGGAAGTGAAAAACACACAGAATTTATGTTCTGTTTGAAAGCGTTTTGAAGCCTTAGAGGGGAAGGAAGATAGTTTGATTCCTTGACACCCCTAGATAATTAAAGTGTACTGATTAGACCAATCTCGCTAAATCAGTTTTTAAAGAACTAGCAAGACTGGAAGAATATTGGCGTGTCATAACAGCGCTAAAGCTTTCCCAGCCACATGGCAGGGGAGAGTTTTTGCTCTTTCACAGTTTACTGAAGTGCAAGCAGACATGTGAAGCTCAAGAGAGGTCCCTGGAGGAGACACTGGCTGTCTATTTGACAACCTTCCCACTTCCTCCGAACTCATGGAGGGCAGATAAATGTCATTCAGAATCACTTGTGCTGCCTCTCATGTTGTTGTACCTTTGCCTTAACCTGACACATTACTGTTTTATAAGAAAGCCAGATATAGTTTCCTTTGTGCATGTTGGTTTAAATGAAGCATGTTTTGGAGTATCTTACAAAAAATACATGCTCTGGAAGTGAACAAGTGTCCAGCAAATTATCTTCAGATGAAGTATATTTATCAAATGCAACTGAAATATTATTTGGTGCCATATGATTTATTTTTTAAAATAAAACGACTTTTATTTCTTTCCCACCTCATCCAGTCACTCAAATCCACGCTGCTTTCCACTAAATAATTCCTATGAACCACTAAATAATTCCTATGAACCAAGAAGATACTCTCTTTGTGCATCAGCATCAGTTATGTACTTCATTGCAATTTATTAGAGAGGCATTTTTGTGTATTAGATAGATTTTTTACTTAGGGCCTGACTTCAGATTCCAGTTCTGCTATAGATTGTGCAACTTCTGGGCAACTCACTGTCTCATAGACTCAGTTCCCTGTCTGAAAAATGGGAGCCATTCAGAAAGTTCTTATAAGGTTGAAACCTTAAAGCACCTTTTGAATGTAAAATGCTATATAAATGATAAAAGTTTCTGTGTATCTGCTTCTTTTGTCTAAGCTGCTTCTGTTTGCTCGCATTCTTCTCAACCTGATATTTGAGTTAGCACATAATACGGCATTTTGATTTCAAGAAGCAGCGAGGCAGCAGAAACTGAGGAATCAATATACGAAAAACAGTAGGAGTAAAGTAAGGAGGAGGAGGGTAAGGGAACATGGGAGACTATGAAGAGCTGTTACATGGTGGGTTTCGTCCCTTCAGTCTTAAATAACAAATGTGCTTTATTCTGCTACCATAATCCACTGTATTCTGCAGAACATGGCCCTAGAAAATTGCTGTGCATACAGTGCGAAAACAGGAACTGTAACTTATTATTTTAGCTGTACACCCTACAGCAGAGAGGCACAGCAGTTTCACTCCCTAAACATTTGAGTCTTTTCCATATTTTCAAATACTTCTGTTTTAATATTAAAACTAGAAGCTCTATTTGGGGGGTTTGTTTTGTTTTAAAAAGCAGAATGATAAGACACTGGAATTCTGTTATGGATAGCAGATTCTGCAGGGACTTCACTGGATGAGGAAGTGGAAGTGATTCAATTGACTTAATTTGCTAGATCCCTACAATAGTCAATCCTTTATTTTGGTACTTTGCATTCCAAGTGAATAAAAAATAATAAGAAGCCATTATAGCAAATATTTACCTGAAGGAGCCAAATATGGACTCCCCATTCTTCTTGGCTCTGTCTTGAGAAGATTAATTAAAGCACAAGAGTATTCCCCGACAAAATTGGATGCATTAACAGGTGCAAAATCTTTGTGGATTTTAAGAAAACAAAAAGGCCCTTCCGTATTTTATTTCCCAAAAACAACATCTGCAGAAGCTGTCTTCTTCCCCCATATCCAAATTAGAAAATGCTACATGATTTCTCCTGAGAACTGATTCTATGTTTCCGCCTCTTTCAAGACACCAGTGGTTTCTTTTTGTTTCATCACGGCTGTTAAAATCAAGAAAGTCAAGAGGCTTTTGATGGAGTGTTCCACAGGGGTCTCCCAACATGCTTCAAGAAGCCCAAGTCCTCAGCTCCATTAAAAAGTTTTTGTTTTTGCAGAACACACATCTTTCGAATTGTAGCAACTACAGTAAACCATAACTGAAGGACTCTTTGACAAGCCCCACCCCAAGGGATACACCCCATTCATTTAGGTAAATTCAGAGCAGCAACTGCATAATTCCTACAAGGTCCACTATAAGGGTAGGGAACTGGCTTCAACAGATATCTGTGTGAAATCACCTATGTAAATTTCTGGTGAAAAGTGTTGGACCTACGCCTTGAAGGCAAAACCTCTTTAAAATAGAGGTGGTGATTTCCAGACTGAGAGAGGAAAAAAGAAGTGGGTGGTTAAGCTGACCCAAATATGTTTACTTGAAAAGAAGTGGGATTGTATCCCACCCCACATTGAGTGAAGTTGATACCCACTGTGGTGTTCGTACAGAGTCCCCAAGTCGTCTCATGGACTATTGACCCGTACACCACTAATCTGCTGCCACCAACCAGGTCCTCCCTGGTAAAATCACTTCAGTCTCAGTGAGCTTTTCAATTAATAAAGAAGAGTGTATTTTATTTCAGACACAAACAAAACTTTTACAGCATTCCAAACGTCGTTGCTCTTTACTTTCTTAGTCTTATTTTCCTCCCCCTATCTCTTCTACCTCCCCACACTCAAGAACCCACTGCCCTAACTCTCTCTCTATTACTAACTTCCTTTCCCAACCAGCCAACCCATGAAATCCAACCAACTACCCACCACAACTCCCAACAAACTCCTCCCAGAACTAGTTTTATAGACCCACTGACTCCACCCCCCTGGGTCCTGTCTGTGCAATCTATTTAACTATTTCCCCTCCAGCACTCTCTCATATATGTTAACGTCACACCCACCTCATGGCATTTGGGCCAGCCATAAGGTAATTTCCTGTCTAAGATGGAACGGGGGGAGGACCCCACTAGTGCATATCCCCCCTCACTGGCAGTAAAAATGCAGTGATAGTAACAAATAATTTGCAGTTAAATTTACCCATTTAGGACATCCAAAATCAGTTGCCTGACCTGACTGCCTCACGCTGGTAGTGGGCCTCCTTTCCATGGCATCAAGTGAGTGGCAGTGGGCAATGTGTTTCATTGCCACAGCTACCCCATGCTCCTGTCACTTTAAAGGATACAACATTCTTGTTTGGGATTGCCAAAGCTTTCTGTCCTCTCTCAGCTGTCACCAGGTTCATTTTTTTGCAAGTGAGAAGCTCCAAAGACAGGAGGAAGGAGAGAGCAGTGTGACTGTAATCTGCAGAAGAAAAAGGTGACAGCTCAGGGACTCCTGATGTGGCATGGGCTTGACCCGAGCATGCCAACAGCTGACAAGGCTGAGCTTGGGTGGAGGGCCCCCATTTTATGGTTCACCACTCAGGGCTGGTTTATGTATAGGGAAGGATGTTTTATGCATATACCTAAAACTGTAAAGTGTGAATGTGATGAGCTCTTGTTTGCTGATATATGTCTCATGTGAGCACACTCACCAGGGATCTAGAATTCCTGTTAAATGCATCCAGCTTTGCCACAGAATATTTCGTGAGGCAGCCTACAGAAGGCGACAAGCAAGTGCAAAAGAGCCATCCCCAAAAGACAGGGCTATCATCTCACATTAGCATCTCACATTTTTGGCCATGATGTGAAGGTGAAGGTGTGAGAGCCAGGAAATAGGCTCTTTGGAACAAGCAGGAGTGAGGAGGGAGAACAGAGAATAAGGAAGAGTGCTGACCCCACCGCAGGGCTAGAAGAATGTGTGCACGTTTTCAGACATCTGTGTATATATCTACGAAATCCATTTCTGATGAATTGTAGGGAATATCATGGGAACATGCAACCATGAGACTGACACCGACTTTGTCATGGCTCCTGCCCCAAAACAATGGCAGAAGAAGCCCCAAAGCCATACACTGAGCAATTGTAGCACTGTTTCACATTTGCATATGACTCTATGGAGCACTTTATTTTGGATAGAGTGATGGAGGAACTAGCAGAAAATTTTTATGCACAGTAAGCCTTGGTATGAAACATGTGAGGTGCAGTGTAGGTGAAATTCAGAGTTTGCAAAGGAATATCATTATGTTTACTTGGGTAGTGCGAGCACCAATTGCAATTTCCACCTTTATCGTAACCACAGTGTGTCCAGAAAGGGGTCAATGGTAGCTTCAGGGTTGCTTTCCATGTGAAAAGGACCTTGATTCCCTTAGCATTGTGGACCTATCAGGAAGCACATGTATTTTATTTATTCAATGAAGTATTTCTATACTGCCATATCATAAAATATTAGGATAGTGTACAATATGTTTTCCATAAAACACCATAAAAAGGTTCAAAATAATCATTAAAATTATTGGCCAGTCAAGAAGCAGCTGCACAGGGCTGTTCATTTACCTGTCATATGGGTAGGGATGGACGGCTCCAGAATTCAGATATTACCATTATGACCACATCAAACTATAAAGGGACATGAAAACTGGTATAACATTAGGGATTCACTTAAAAGGAGAAAAGAAAACGGAACGCTACAGAGATTTTCCCCATGAGAGGGATGTCTCTGGGAAGACAGCAGATTAGAATGCTGACAGCTTTCTCAGCTGCCAAAATAAAACTACAGTTCAAATAGTGCCATCTGACCACATCAAACCATAAAAAGGCATCGCTCTTGCACAAAAGTTACTCTAT